ACATTGGAGGGACTGCGGAGAGGTAGAGGTAGGCCAAAGAAGAGGTGGGGAGTGATAATTAGGCAAGACATGGCTGACCGAGGACATGGCCCTTGATAGGAAGGTATGGGGGTCAAGGATTAGGGTAGTAGAGTAGGTAGTCTAGAGTGTTCATAACACTAGTATTGGCACGCTGTCTCGCTTGCTGTTGGTAGTAGGTTTTTATGACTAACCATTATTTTTTTCCATTGTTGATCACCTTACTATCTTGTTGTTTTATTATGCTTTTATATGGCTTTTTAGTACTGTCCCTTATTGTCTATATTTTCATTAATATGGTGCTTATGCTTTCCTGAGCCGAGGGTCTATTGGAAACAACCTCTCTATCCTCACAAGGTAGGGGTAAGGTCTGCGTACACACTATCCTCCCCAGATCCCATAGTGTGGGATAATACTGGATATGTTGTTGTTGTTATTGTTGTTGTATCTGAGTGTGACCACGCAAAACAATCAACGTTAGCTTTAAGAAAATTAATAATTTTTTATCTGAGTTCGGGACTCAACCCCTTTCCGAAGTGGAATTTTCTTTCTAAGAACTCCGTGAACAAGGACACTTGTTTGAGCTCATCTGTGGTTGATTTGGTCGTATCCGTTTCTTCTGGTACCTGAAAAGACCTCGGAACCTGATAAAATTCTGATGACTCTTTTTCTTCTTCTTTATCTTCAATCGGCGTAGAAGAAGGCACCGACTCTTGTAATTTCTATTTGCTCGTTTCTTTGCCCTTGCTACTGGACAAGGTAATTGTGTTCATCTCTCTTACAGCTGGTTGAACTCCTCTGATCTGCTTGACCCCTTCTGGTGTAGGAAATTTCAACAACTGATGATATTTTGACAGCACAACGTTCATTTCATGTATCCAAGGCCTTCCAAGGATCACGTTGTATCCCATATCACTGTCTACCACTTTGAATAGAGTGGTTTCCGTTATGCCTTCAGCATGCGTGGGCAGCAAAATCTCTCTTTGGCTCGTAACACTTGTTAAGTTTGAACACGGCTAAAAGCTTTGTTGCCGGAACTATGTTTCCGATTAACTTTCCTTTCTCCAAAACTCTCCATTGTATGATGTTGGCTTAACTTCCTGGATCAACCAACACACGTTCAATTTTGAAATCTAAGACATTAAGAGAAATTACTAGAGCATCATTATGCAGTGGAAGAAGTCCATTAGCATCCTCTTCTATAAAGGTGATGTCATCTTCTAAAACTTCTCGAATCTTCTTGCCATGAGTTATGGATATCTTCGTCTTCTTTGCTGCCGAAATTGTCACCCTATTTACTTTGTCTCCACCAAAGATCATTTTTATCATCATACGAGGTGATCCCACAGCCGGTTTTGATGGTTCTGCAACATCTCAATTTTCCCATAGTTATTCTTCGACCAATCACTTAGAAATTCTCTGAGGTGACCATTCTTCAATGATGTTTCCACCTCTTCACGAAGGTGCCGACAATCCCCAGTCCTGTGACCATGTGTTCCATGGAGCTCACATCATAAATTAGGATCCCTTTGGCTAGGATCCGATCGAATGAGTTTCGGGGACCTAGCCTCCTTTATGTTACTCATAACCAACACCAATTCTCCCAGGCTGATGTTAAAGTTATAGTCAGCTAATCAGGGTGCTAAATCTCGGGACCCCGATGGCTCCTTTTCCTGTAAATACCTGTTACTCCAACTACGATCCGTTCTATCGGCAGCAAACCTGTCCGATGAATGAAATCAGCCCTTTGTAAGGCTGAAAGTGGCCTTTGGAAGATCTCCGATCTGCATCAATATCAACTTTAAACCTCTCTTGATTCTGATCACGATTACGTCCTTTGGAAGACACTGAAAAACTGAGTAGATCATCTTCAATTCTGATCTTTGATTCATATCGATTATGAACATCTGCCCATGTAGTTACATGAAATTCCAGTAGACTTTCTTTCAATTTCATTGAGGCATCGAAACTCAATGGATTAAGACCCTTCGTGAATGCTTCAGCTGCCGACTCGTCTAGTACTGCCAGAAATAATATTCTTTCCTTCTTAAATGTGATCACGAACTCTGACAATATTTCGGATTCTCCTTGGGCGACTCTGAATATATTCGCCTTTTTTGCTTGGACCTTTCTTACCCCAACATGAGCTTTAATGAAAGAATATGCAAACATTTTAAAAGTGTCAATGGAATATTCAGGTAAAAGAGAATACCATGTTAAAGCACCCTTTATTATGGTTTCGCCAAATTTCTTGAGTAAGAAGATTTAATCTCGTGCAGGGCCAAATCATTTTCCTTTACTACCGTCGTATAAGTTGTGATATGCTCATGTAGATCTGAAGTCCCATCATACTTTGGAATATCTGGCATCTTGAATCTTTTCGGGATCAACTCTGGGGCGGCACTTGGTTTAAACAACAACTACGTTCTTTGAATCCGATCCCTTCAACTCCGGTGGTGCTCCCGGGATCTGATCCATCAGAGCATGAAATTTAGAATTTTGGTTCATTCGTTCATTCATCTCCTCATGAATCTCATGAGCTCGGTCTTGAAAGGATCGTCAGCAATGTTATCATTCCTAGATCCACTACCGACACCACCTGTTTCATTTTCATTAAAACCGAATCCCTCCCTCGGAGCAACATTATCGGATCTTTGCGTCGTTTGATTTTCGGGCACGCTGGGAGAAATCTGAACTGCTCTATTTGGGTTATTGGAAGCAACCGAAAACACCTGCTTCAACTCTATCATTACCCAGTCTTGCCTTGAGAGATGCTTCATAATTTTCCTTTGTTGCTCTCTCAAGATTTTGACCGTCTCAACACATGTTCATCATTTGCATCATCAGGAGTTGAACTTCTCACACGATGAGGATTTTGTCCTTCGCGAACTGGAGTTGTCTCATATCCGTCGTTGCGAGTTTCACTAATTGAATCTTCCTGGTGGAACACATCCTCTCGCTCATTGTGTGTTCCAACGTTGTAAGCATTATTCACATCGTTAGCTGCCATATCTAATTTTTCTTTTGCTAGAAAGGAATCAAAATTCGTTAGTAACATAAGAAAGGATCAAAGTAATTACACAATTGTCTATGCCCTACGGTTTGCGCCAACCTGTTTACCCGTAAAAACTGTACAGTTGAATTTGTAACGTAGTTTATAAAAGTGTGAATTAACTTGATCCAAACATATAAAATAAATAAGAATAAAATCAATATTATAAAAATAACTCAAAAGAAATACAAGTCTAGCTGTATGATGTGCATCTCCAAAAGCAATAATATGAACAATGTTAAGAACAAAAGAAAGCAAGTAGTTTTATATTATGAGAGCAAATTATAGCCTTTGTGTACAGATGATTTTTCGTGTCTACAATGAATACCAATTCTCCTATTTATAGCTCTATTTAGGGAGACAAGATCCCCAAATCAAGCTCCTCTTGAATGAGAATAAAACCATTATTGATGGCTGCATAACAGTTGACTATTAATACAGAGATTCTTTGTAACGACTGCTCATTGAATGTTGTCTTTCCCAACCGATGTCTTCTTTTCAAATATTTGTTACTGGTTCCCATGCATACGGAATTTATACATCACCGAACTCATCTTTTATATCCAATGTCAACTATTTGCTCTTGTCTTGAGATACACGTGTCACCTCGTGATTTATCCACCGGTCGTTAACCAATTTCACCCTATACAGTAATGAAGTTAGGTGACAATTAGGAAGATATTAGTCCATGCACATTGCATATTTGCAGTATCATCTTGTTGGCATGCAACAGAGTTAACAAATGAAAATGCAGTAGTGATGATGCTAAAATCATGACTCAATTTCCAGTATACTCACTGTACTAAAATTATTATTTTTTACATTAAAATAACTAATCAGAAAATATAAATGAGGTTTGACTTTTCGTTATTTGTATTTTCTGAGCAATTCACACGTAGTACAATTACTCTAATATGAAAAAATGTAATTTGTAAATTCATCAGTATAATGGGTAAAGTTAGTTAATTCAATGTGAAAAAAGAATAATTCGTTAACTTTACTAAGTATTATAGTGAATATAATTCAGTAAAATATTAACTCTCTAAAAGTGTATCGTATTGTTACTTTTAGAAGTAGAAATTAATTTACCGATCCAATTGTATAGCATTTTAGTTGTGTGATGTCTACTTAGAACGAAGCGTATTGTCTGTTTGGCCAAGATGCAAGTACTTTTGATGAGAAACAGTTTGTATTTGATTGATTAATTTGAAAAGTATTTTTGAGCAGTAATTAGTGTTTGACCAAACTTTTAAAATAAGTGTATTTTTCTCAAAAGTGCATTTCAAAAAAGTGCTTTTGGCGAGAAGCTACTTTTTTCTTCTTCTCAAAAAATACTTTTTTTTTCTTCCAAAAACTTAGCCAAATACCTCAACTTTAAAAAAGAAGAATTATAGAATTGAAAAGCTTGGCCAAAAAGACTATTCGACTGTTGCCATAATCTGTGGACGTTTTGTTTTTATCTTTAATGACAAACAAATCGAAGCAACTCTCGGTCAGTGACTTTGAAACAAATAAGTTTATTATAACTTGTATTTTACATAGGCTGAATATAATTTTATTATTAAAGAATAAACTAATATAATTGAGCCTCAGTAAATGAAGGAGAAACTTAGTAATTTAGTATCATATGCCAATATGTTTCTCTCAAAAGTGCCATTGATTTACTTCTATTTCACGGAAAAGTAGAAGACGAAAACAAACATGGCCCAGTGAAGTAATAAAAGTCTCATTAATTTAACTTGCATATATTCTGACAAACTAAAAACTTGACTCATGCTAAGAATTAGTACTAAAAAACATGCAAAACAATACGAATATATATTTGAAAGAACAGTTCCTACTTGGTAACTAGTGCAACACGAAGTTACTATTATTTTGTGGAATCTAATAACTAGTAATGAATACTAGTAACATATCATGTGAAGAGAATTCAAGGTTTTTGATTCCCAATTGCTGCATCATCTCCTTCACCTTGGCCACCAGCAAATACACCATTACCATTAGAACTACTACCTCCATCGTCACCAAAACCAAAACCTCCGCCATTTCCAAACCCTACACTAGACCCGAAACCTCCGGCACCACCAATGCTGGACCCGAAACCCGTTCCAGTTCCAGTTCCAGCTCCAAAACCTAATCCACTTCCACTAGATATTCCTCCAAAAGGATTATTACCAAAACCACCTCCAACTCCGCCTCCAAAACCCGGCCCTACACCAAAAGCGGGCCTACCAATCCCGTGACCGCCTAGGTGACCAAGGTATGGCGGTAAAGGGCGGCGAAAAAGTGTCTTCTGTTCATCTTCAGCTTTTGTAGCTTTCATGGAAAGGCTCCTTGCATTTGTTGGTAAAACAAGTGCACTAGCAACAAGGACAACAATAATTAGGAGAATATTGGTAATTGCCATTTTCAGAGTTAATTAGTAGTACTAGAGATGTAAAAGATGTAGTTTTGAGTGTGAGAAGTTTGAGATTGGGAGCTCAAGTTATATAGTAGCCGAGAAATTGAAGTAATAAGGAAGAATGTGAGAGTTAGGATGATATATACTCATATCATGCATTGCGCGTTAATTGTCTATATTTTGTTTACAAAAAACCAACTACGTCTTTTCAGAATTAAGAGACCGACCTTCTCAACCTCATGATCAACCTAACTCTTCAATACAACAAAGCAAATCAATAGTTATTTCTTCAAATTAATTAAATGTGCATCTTTATTCATTGTGTTCTGATTCTTCTTCCTTTTTTTTTTATTTTGGATATTAATTATACTACAGCATTCACTTTTTTCGTTGGCTGCTTTATATAGTATAAGTACTTAACAAAAACTTAACAAGATATATGGTGTGTTCAATTGTGTGATCTCCCCTAAGATCTCCTAGACTACACATAATTTAGGATAAGACCTGCAAATGCCACGGACCACGGGTAGCATTCATGACTTATAGCCTGTTTGGCCAAACTTCTTCTTCTTATTTGAAATTTTAATTTATCTTTTGTTTATTCTACTTTAATATACTTAGACAACGATATACCTTTTGTTGTTCAAAGCTAAGTACTTGTCACACTTTTAAAATGAAAACACTATTTAAACTAATTTGCGTAGCAATGGGATTGGTGGCCTGTATCCAAACCTTGAGGCAAAAGAATGTGCAATTCCAATATAATTGTATTTCAATGACCCTTGTTTTTTGGCAAGAATAAGTAGACAATCTTGAGGAAGTGGAAAAAAGTAGAGGGCTCGATTTTATAAAGTACAAGTATTGAATAAAATGTTTTTCAGCATCCTTCTCTACCAAGAAAAACGTTTTAGCTTTAATTCTTTTGATTAACATTTCCATACTTTTGTCAGTCAAATCATTGTCTGAATCCGAAGAAATATCACCAATATCCCATTAAGCTTGTACGGATCAGACTTGGAAGAAAGTTGAGAACAAAACTTCCTATAATCTTTGTCATCATAGAGTCTTATGATCCCCGTTTTATGGGAACTGCCATGACCAACGGAAAATATTCCATCACCATCAACCTTGTCACTCCCAATTAAACTCCTTTTCCTCTTGGAAAATAAAGTATAGAATTCCTCTATAATCTTTCTTTTATCTACTTAGGAAATGTTAAAATTCCTGCCTACACCATCACTATTTGAAACACATGCCATTGCCTTCTCATCATCATTGTCGCTAACTAGAACAACAATTGATCAAAAGACACACCCTGTCAGCTACTGTATCCAAATTATTCTCTGTATCCAAGTTTATCCCGAGGATAATCACCAAAGTCACCAGACAGCTTTATGATGCCAATGAAGCAAGATCATGAGATATTCAATGAAACTCGTATTGTAAAGAAGAAGAAAGAGACTGATTTAGAAAGGTGGGTCGAGGGTCGATCCTCGACTATACATGTAAGTTTTTTACTTTTCATTAAGTATTTTTATTTACTTTTATATAAATTTTGAAATACTAATTTAATATAATTTTTCTTATAGGTTCGCTTCACAGCTGATGTGGAGGAATTCATACGCAGTCAGCCACCTAATGAGTCGGGCGAGGCAATCCAACTTTCGGACGAGGATGCTGAAAGAACACTCCTTGAGTACTTTATATACTTTGAACTAGACAATAGAACCAGTTTTCGAATGAGCTTGTAATAAGCGTTAACTTAGTTTTGTTAGCTTAATGTGTTAGTTCTATTGAACTTTATACTTCGTTGGTTTTAATGTTGTTGTTGTTGTTGTTGTTGTGTTGTTGTTGGTATTGTTGTTGTTGTTGCTTGTAATAGAGATTTGGTATGCTGGCAGGTGGTGTAGCTGCCAAAACAGGCAGTTTCTACCAAAATAATACCCAGAAAAGCGACCAACTTTGATCTCTTTTTGGTCGCTTTTCATTTAAAAAAAATAATTTTCTGGGAAATAGCGACCAAAGTTGGTCTCTTTTTATCCAGATTTCTAAAAAAGCGACCAACCTTGGTCGCTATTCCATTTAAAAAAATAATTCTAGGAAAATAGCGACTAACGTTGGTCGCTTATATTTAAAAAAAAATTAAATTCTTGAAATTAGCGACCAACTTTTGGTACGCTTAATTTGTAAAAAAAAATTAAAAAAATTAATAAAATAGCGACCAACCTTGGTCTCCATTTTCCAGATTTTAAAATATAATATTTGGATTAGAGACCAAAGTTGGTCGCTGTTTTATGAATAATAATAAATAAATAAATAATATATTTTACATTTAGAGACCAACTTTGGTCGCCAAATTTATATTATTAAAATAATAAAGCGACCAAAGATGGCCGCTATAGTCAATACCCGGAATATTTGGTCATTTTACTTTAGAGACCAAAGTTGGTCGCTAATTAGCGACAAACTTTGGTCCCTAAAGTGAAGGGACCAGCAATATAGCGACCAGGCATGTTTGGTCGCTTTTTGGTCGCTTTTGGGCCTATAAGCGACCAACTTTGGTCGCTTTTTACCGGATTTCTAGTTGTGTGAACGCTGCAAATCTTGCTTGTAGCTCACTTGTGTGCTTAACTACCTTCCAATTGTAACGTGAAAGTCTACAAACATCGGTTCATTTATGGCATTTGCTTAGTTTTAATTACCAGAGTAGTAGTGATGTTACTTTTCTTCTATCTAGACAGGGCAACTTTAATGAAGCAAAATAACAAATTCATGGAATATTTTGATCTATTTTTGAGAAGGGTAAATAGATTTCAGTAAAATCTAGCACTAAGATGGTGCTAAACAAACTGTACGAGTGTAGCAAAAAGCAAAAGTTATATCCCTATCTCTTTTCCTGTGGGATTCCATGAGTTCTACAATTGATTTTCAGCCGCATTTAATTTCCAATTTCTGGTCTACAACAAAGTAAAATTAAAGAGACTATAGTTAACTTCATTTTCGTGATAGAATTAGCTCTATTTTTATAACATTTGTTTTTCCTTTTTCTCCAAATAATCCACCAAATGCGTGTTGGGACAGATTTCCACCATGCTGTCTTTTTTTACTCAAAACTTTTCTGATTGCAGCAACTTAGAAGGTCTACAGCAAATTCAGGCACCCATCAAAGACCTGAAATGTTCAAGAATAGCCGTCACAGTTGGTTTGTGACAGAACTACATAGGAATAGGTGATTTGCACATTCTGGTTGCTCCCCACATAAGTAGCATTTGCAGCATATATAAGGTTATGCCTCTTTTCTGAAACAAGTATTGGAAGAAATCTCATCCTTTGATAGTTCAAGACAAGGGAGGATCTGCTATATGGAAGAAGATGGTAGCAGTTAGAGAACATCAGATTTGGTGGCAAGTGAAGGGAGGAGATTCTAGTTTTTGGTTTGATAATTGGAGTTCTCTGGGAGCTTTGTACTATTAGACACAGCGAGAAAAGGTGACATGGACATTACCTCCAATGGGATATCTGAAGTGTAATACAGATGGTGCTAGTAGAAGGCATCCAGGGAGGAGTTCATATGGCTTTTGCATTAGGGGTGACAGAGGTGACTTGGTGTATGCACAGGCAATGGAAATTCACCAGACGACAAATATTTGAGGCTGAGGCTATTGCAGTGAGGGAAGCACTGGTTTATTGTGTTTCTAATGGTATTCTACAGGTTTTTCTGGAAACTAATTCCCTACTATTGAAGAAAATCTTGGAAAGGGCTTTGGAGATTCCATGGAGTATTTATTCTCACTATGGAATTTATTTTCCAACTTTTAGAGTCATGCCAGGTTCATATTTCACATATATATAGGGAAGGGAATGCATTAGCTGACCATTTTGCAATCAGGCATTTAAGGGTAAGCTGGTACTAAAAAAACGGTTATCCTTTCCTATAAAAAATGCAATTTTCGTGTAATTTTAGCTGTTTAATATGAGACATGCTATGTTTTTTTTTTCTTTTTTACAAATCAAAAGTATTCTTAGAATTTTTAGTCTTACATAGATTATGATTTATTGCCATAAATAGTAGGTCGTTAAAGATAAAATATGATTAAATTCAAAATTAAATTTAAATATGTAAAGTATGATTTATTTTGGAGATTAAAAAATGAAAAAGTGTGACATAAACCAGATATCGTTCATTGTTTAGACTAATGCTACTGAAATTTTCTTAATACTATATTCACAATGATAAAATTTAATTTCTTATTTTGTTATGTAACCACAACTGTCATTTGTACAGTTAGTTGACTTTGTTTCCGATTCCATTAGCTCAGCATTGCTCTAAATACAGTAATATTGATGATTATGAAGTGTTTTTTTGGGTAAAATTCGTAGTTCAGCGGATGTTGTGAATATAATTCTTATAATGATGATTTGAGAATGACCTATGTGGAACTCTGAATGGTGCTGTAATGACATTTAGAAAGCACAGGTAATTATTTCTATGCCTGTTCTCCTCTTCTCTCACTCAATATAAAATTTCATTTTAGACTTTCATATATCATCAAAAAACTACATGTATTAAGAAACGAGCTACTTCATACAATCCAGGATTCAGAGAATTTAAGTACTTGTGCAAATCAAGCAACAATGGTACATGAGCGGATGGTTTGTTTCCACCTAGTGACGATTACTGACAAATTGAAGCCTTATTTCTCTAAGTGTTGAAAGAGCATCTTCCATGCTAATTCTTGCATCAGGTTTCACTAAGGTGCAACTCAAGGCTAATTCCATGATAGATACCATACACTGCATCTTTGTGTCGGTTTTTTCATTCCCTGCCTGTACCAAATTAGCATCTACCACCTTATGAATTTCACTTGGAAAAGAATCACTAACCCAACGTCGTATGCTCAAGTCTCCGGTAAATTCTTCATCACTTGGTCTCATTCTTGTAAGCGTCTCCATCATCATAATGCCAAAACTATAAACATCGCAGCTCGTGGATACTATTCCATCTTGTCCATACTCTGCAATCATGGTCGAAAATGATAAGAAAATCTTCCTAGTTATGGAGGAATCTGCTAAAACTTTGAGTATCAAACTATTTCCCGGGGGAAAGAACTATTTTGGGTAGTCTAAGGATATGAAGAAACTTTAAAAAGTTGTATTACCCGGAGCTTGGCTTCAAGTCACAATGCACCACAGGTGTTGAATAGCCATTGTGGAGATAGTCTAATGCTGCAGCCACATCTATCATTATATTCAATCTCTGTAATAAGTCCAAGAATAAGTTGTGAGAGTATAACCATTTATCAAGTGTCCCATTGGGCATGTATTCCAAAATTAGGGCTTTGAAATCAAGGTTGAAGCAGCTGGTGATGACTTTGGCCAGATTTATGTGGCGAAGGTTCCGAAGCATCTCACATTCTGTGTCAAAACTTTTGAATGCACCCTCCAATTGCACTTTGAATACCTTTGCTGCCAAAATAGTACCATCCTTTAGTGTCCCTTTGTAGACCATGCTGAAACTCCCGTTACCAAGCAAGTTGCTTTCGTTGAATCCTTCGGTTGCTTGTTCAAGTTCATAATAGGAAATTCTTTCATGTCCTTTAAAATTCACCAGAGGCGAATCTGCTTGACTTGCATTCTTCTTCATCTTTCGCAACCTCAAAAATACATAAAAGAGGGCTAATGCAATAGATACTAGACCCACTCCCAAAACGACAGACAAAACCAAAATTTTCTTGTTCCTCTTGGGAGATTTGGTGACACATGGTGACAGGTGAAATTTAGAGTCACCGCAAAGTGCATCATTGGGCAAGAAAGATTGACTTGTGGCATTTGCGAAAGGACCACCGCTGGGTATTTCTCCACTAAGTTTATTGAATTCATGAGATACACAAGAGCTTCTAATGACTTTGGTATTTCACCACTAAGATTATTATAGCACAAATCCAAGAATTCCAAGGCCATCATATTACCAAATGAAACTGGAATTGGGCCATCTACTGTATTATGTGCTAGAGAAAAAGTTATCAATTTATTTAGACCCCCTAGAGTGCTAGGGATCTTGCCGGAAAGATCATTTTTTGACAAATCAATGAGTGTTGCAACCTTTAAATTTCCAAACTCCAGAGGAATTTGCCCACTTAATAAATTGGATGAAACATTGAAATCTATGAGATCTTGAAGGCCCCCCAAGCTTGCTGGTAAGCATGAATTCAGTCTGTTACAAGCTAGATAAATATACCTCAAACTGGTAACTTTTCCTAACATAGTGGCACTGAACCAGAAAGTTGATTTTCCGACAAGTCTAATGCACCAAGATTCTTTAAAGTGCAGATAACATCTGGTATGGTTCCTTGTATCTTGTGTCATTGTAGGTAAAGTATTTGAAGGTTCAACATGCCTTGGATAGTTTTTGGAATATGTTCAGTCAACTCATTGTTAAGCATATTCATCCTTGTCACTGTAGTAAGATTGCCAATTTCTCTAGGAATGATGCCCTTGAGTTTACAATGCTGTCCATCAAATGTTTGCAGATAGTTAGAGAAATTCCCTACTGATGTAGGGAGAACACCATCTATTGGATTCCTAGAAAAACTGAGTAATCTTAGTTTCCTACACTTTGTCAAAGATGTCAGGTAACTCAATGTTGAATCACTGTAAAGATTATTCCACTGCAAGTTGAGAAACTCAAGGTTTTCTAAGTTACCAAGTGTATTTTTCTCAAAAGTGCTTCTTAGAAAAGTGCTTTTGGAGAGAAGCTACTTTTTTCTGCTTCTCCAAAACTGCTTCTGCTTCTCCTCAAAAGCACTTTTTTTCCTTCCAAAAGCTTGGCCAAACACCTCAATTTTTTGCCAAAAGTGCTTTTGGCCAAAAAAAGCACTTTTGGCAAAAAAAAAAAAAAAGCTTGGTCAAATAGGCTATTAAGCCCTCGAAATCTCCAAGTTGAAATCTTCAAGTTTGTCGGTCTTCAAGTTGAAGTCTTCACGTTCGCCACCCTTCAAGTTGAGATATCTAAGCCCTTCAGGTCTCCAAGTTGAAGTCTTCAAGTTGAGGTCCTCAAACTCGTCGGTCTTCAAGTGGAAGTATTTGAGCTCTCAAATTTTTCAGATTGAAACATCATAGTCCGCCGAATCTTCAAGTTTGTCGGTCTTCAAGTTGAAGTCTGCAAAGTCCGCCAAATCTTCAAAGTTTTCCAAGTGTTCAAGTCGACGTCATCAAGTCCATGAAGTCTTCGAGTCGAAGCTTTACAACTTTCCAATCTTAAGGTGGACATATAAGTCCCTTTGCACCTTAAGTCAGCCTCTACGTGGGTTTGTCCTTAAAAGGAACTATAACTTTCCAATCTTAAGGTGGACATATGAGTTCCTTTGCACTTTAAGTTGGCCTCTCCGGTAGTCGGTCCACATTGAGAGTAATCTCTCCGGTAGTCGGGCCACTTTGAGAGTAATCTCTCCGATAGTCGGGTCATTTTGAGAATAATCTCTCCGATAGTCGGGCCGCCTTGAGAGTAATCTCTCGGATAGTCAGGTCATTTTGAGAGTAATCTCTCCGATAGTCGGGTCGTTTTGAGAGTAATCTCTCCGATAGTCGGGTCATTCATTTTGAGAGTAATCTCTCCGATAGTCGGGTCATTTGAGAGTAATCTCTCTGATAGTAGGGCCACATTGAGAGTAATCTCTCTGATAGTCGGGCACATTGAGAGTAATCTCTCCGATAGTCGAGGCACATTGAGAGTAATCTCTCCGATAGTCGGGCCATTTTGAGAGTAATCTCTCCGATAGTCGGGTCATTTTGAGAGTAATCTCTCCGATAGTTGGGGCACATTGAGAGTAATCTCTCCGATAGTCGGGGCACATTGAGAGTAATCTCTCCGATAGTCGGGGCACATTGAGAGTAATCTCTCCGATAGTCGGGGCACATTGAGAGTAATCTCTCCGATATTCGGGGCACATTGAGAGTAATCTCTCCGATATTCGGGGCACATTGAGAGTAATCTCTCCGATATTTGGGAAGGGATGAGTACCCATCCCCTTACACCCTAAGACCATCTTATTCATGCGTGGATCATCTTGTTGAACAAGAACATATCTTTCTTGCTTGACTTACAAAAAAAAAACTACAAGAAAAGCACAAGAAAAGAAATTACCTTCGCGTCAATACTTTCAAGTCGTCAAAAGTAGACGCAAAGTGGTTTACAAACGCTGAAATTGGAGCTAATAGAATAACGAGTATATGGTATTTATAGCTGTCAGAAGATGCTATTAATAAGTAAGTACGATGTGGGATTGCTGTTCTAATTAGGCTCCTGGAAGGATTCAAATTGAAATTGGACCTACGGCGTAGTATCCAACAACGTTTCCATCTGTTCTCCTTTTCCAATCAAAGAAAGGATTGCAATACCGTTGCCTTCTGTTCTCCTTTTCTAATCAAAGAAAGGATATGCCAAATCCATATGGATTTGGTCAGCTTGTACCGATGGTCCATAAAATTGAGGAAAGTAGTATTTATATCATAATAATATCATAATAGTGATAATAATTATTATCATCTCTCTTGGTAATTGTATAGGGTCAAATTTGACCGTCAGCGTCTCTACGCCAGTGGGTACGCCCAGTGAGTGTACGCCGACTAACGTAGCGGGTACGACTCGGACGTGGGTACAAAAGCGACATCGTTTAGGACTCAGTGTCTTCACTAGGGAGACGTTACCTATTTTTGTAACTTTTTGATTATTTCGAGGAAGGTCTCTTATTATATAAAGGAGACCTTCACATTGTAAAGAGGGGAGTCTGGAATAATACAACTCTCTCATTTTCTGACTTTCTCTCTCTATCTCTGCAAACGAACATATTCTCTTGAGTTCATATTATCACTTTGCAATACTAGATCTACAACAATAACATCATCTTTATATCTCTAGGTCTATTATATTTGATTACGATTTACACTTTTCTTATTTTTGATTGTTTTCTAGCTTACAAAGTATATTGTTAACTTTTGAGCCAAACAATTTGGCGCTGTCTGTGGGAATTTCGAGAATCAAAATCATAGTATCCACCTAGAGAACAACCAGCTACCATTCTCTACACCACACAAACACAAAAGATGGCTGAGAATAACACAAGATCGAAAGCTATATTGGGTGTTACTACTAATCTCCTTGGCCCTCTCAACGAGGTCAGTGACGATGGTATCCTGAATGCAACCCCTAGCATCACATCGGGTGCGGAGATCTCACCTTCCCCATCCGAAGATCTGACGATCTTGCACGAAAAAGGAGCTTCCACATCTGCGGCCACTGAAGCACCCTCAGCGGTCAAGAAGCTACTGGAAAGATGGCTAACAAGCACTCTGAGTGGCTTGGTTGAGAGGTCACCACAAGGTAACATCAGGTGTACACCGACGGTAGATACCACTGCTGCCGTGGGCGAACCGGAAGTTGCACTAGCAAATAACAAACCCGTCGAGACACAGACCAACGATGGCACGCTAACAGCCATCCTAAAGAAGATGGAAGAAATGGAAAATGAAAACAAGGCGCTCCGCGATCAGATGAAGGAACATCAGGAGAGGGTCGACAAGATCCCCGGTTCTCCCAAGTTGCGACCAAAACGCGACGTGGGAAGGTTCGTTGAACAACCATACACTGAAGAAGCTGCCCCTCACTACACCCCAAAAACCTTCAAGATGCGACCCTACTTGAGGGTATATGACGGAACCACTGATCCCGAGGATCATATGATCCACTACGTCACCGCTGTGAAGGGCAACGACCTATCAAAAGAACAGGTACCGTCGGTACTGCTGAAGAAGTTTGGCGAGACGTTGACAGGAGGGGATTTAACATGGTACTCTCAGCTACCGGCTAAGGCAATATCAACGTTCGAGGAAATGGCGGATAAGTTCATCACAGCCCATGCAGGCGCGAAGAAAGCGGAGGCCAGGGTCAACGACATCATCGCCATCAGGCAAACTGTTGCGGCCAAACGCACACGCAAGTATACGCGGTCGTCAAGTAATAAAGTGACTAAAAGTCGGATGTCGATCCCACGAGGACTTGTGATTAACTATTAACTAAATTAGACTATCCTAATTATCTATACAAGAATTAAACCTAGAAGTATTTGATTCTAAACTAATTAAATTAAGAAATATAAATAATAGTAAACTTTAAATAGAGGAAGAGCTAGTATTTTTATTTTATCAAATGTAAATAGAAAACGTATACGTAGGGTTAGTGGTCTAATCTAA